TCAAATAATATTATAATATGATAAATATTTATAATTAAATTTAAATAGAAATTTGAAAATTCAATTCGACTTGATTTAAATTTTATAAAATCAAATCGAAAAATTCACTAGAACAAATTTAACAATTTATGACATAATTTCTATATGACGTTGCGTATAACGTCACAAAATATACTATAAAAGTGACATTTTTTTTATTTTCTTCACATTTAGTAATTAATGGTATATCTTTTATGACAATTGTAAAAATGGTCATTGATTTTCGTCACTATATGTTTGACGCCAAAATTTCCCTCCAAAAATTTTGGTGGGAAACCTGTCAATGACATTTAGATAAAATTGTGACGTTGTAAAATCGTCTCCAATGAAACGAAAGTATTAATGACGATTCGATTTGAATTAGTGACATTCCAAATTGTCACTAATAAATTTTATTTGTGACAATTTGATTCGTCATAGTTTATATGAAATAAAAAATAACACTTTATTCTTCTCACAAAATAAGCTTAACATGACAAAAGTAATTATTTGATCCCCATTGTTATATCTCTTGTTTTTTAATGATATGGAAATACATCATACGGTTGTGTCAATTAAGATTTAGTGCCAATAAATAACATAAAAAATAGCCTAGAATTTTTTTTAGAGACATATTGGATTTGTCACTAATTCAAAATTTTATTGGTGAAAATTTTTAAAATAATCTTAGATTTTAGACTTATAATTTCAATCGTTTCTATTAATTTTCTCAAAGTTGTGTTCTCTATAAATATATATATATATATATATATATATATATATATATATATATATAAGAATTATTTATTTATATATATATTTGAAGGGTCAAAAAAACCCTAACAATGTAAAATAAAATTATTTCAATACTTAAATTTTTTTTGCACCCAAGTAAGCCTTTGCATTAAGAAATTAAATCAATTAAGCCATTAAACTATAAATTTATTAACCTTTTTTAGGTTATTTGTCATGTGGCATCGTCAAAGGGAATTACATGTCAAACTTTAGGGACGAATTTCTAGATTTTTTATAAATTTAATTTAAATTTTTAAAAAATACAAATTATGGAAATATTTTAAATAATATTTAAAATGTAAAATGTAAAAAAAATATTTATTTTTATATAATTTTAAAATTTATTTTAAAAATACTAAATATTATTAAAATTATAATAAATATTCAAAAACTAAAAAGTATAAAAAAAGTTTTAAAATATTTTTATTAAATATTAATTTATTTTTTAAAACTCTGAAATTTATTCAAAAATTAAAAATACTTTTAAAATAATAAAAAATATTTGTTTAATATAAAATATACATAATTACTTTAAAAATTATAAAATCTTCCAATATTATTTTAAAATATTAAAAATTAAAATATGTAGAAAATATAAAATTATTAAAAAATCTAAAAAAAACTCTAAAATTTCTTAAGAGAAATATAGTTGGAGTCTGAGTTACTATGATATGTTATAAATATTTTTTCAATCAATTTATATGATTACAATTTATATTTTAATTTGGGGTCTTAAGTGTGACTAAAAATATTTTTTAAATATAAATTATTAAAAATATAAAAATATTAAAACTTTATTAAAAATTACTCTTATGAGATGAATTGTTTTGTTATATAATAAATCCTTCTTGTAAGAATTATTACCTTAGAGTGACAAAGGTTCCCTTGGTGAATAAGCACTAAACATAGTGTTGTAGATCTCCACTTGGTGAATAAGCACTAAACATAGTGTTGTAGATCTCCCGTTCGAAAACCTTGACTATATATTTTTAGATATTTTTATTTTTTAAAATTTTATATAATTTTTAAATAAAATACAATATTTTTATATTTTTTCAAATTTTATAGAAATAATTAATATTTCTTTTTAATTTTATAATTTTAATAATATTTAATATTTTTAAATTAATTTTAAAATTTTTAAGAAAACTTAATTGGGCTGAAAATAAAATGTTGAGGCTTGAGATAATAATAATAATAATAATAATAATTCCATCAAAATTGGCGTTAGAAGTACAATCATGATAATTTGGGAGTTAAGTGTGCTTATAATACTTGGAGTTAAACGTGAGAAACATAAAATTTATGGACTAAATTATAAAAAATTAAAAGCTAGTGGTTGAAAATGAAAATTATGAAAAGTTAACCCTAAAGAATTTGATGGCCTACCTTGCAGTTAACCCTACCTATTATTCCTGAAGATAAAGAATAGTGTTTTCGCTCTTTTTCTCACATTTTGTTATATTCTGTTCAAGGGATTGGGAGGCAGTCAGAGAAGAAGCTATAGTCCTCATCGTCGTAGCCAGATTCAAACACGTGCAAGAAAGAGGTACGTCAATGAACGTCGTGATCACCACCGATCCCATCGTCACTGATTCCCTCTTCTTTTTGATTTTCTCATTCGCAATCTCCCTATCGATGCTAGTCCTAAAGATCTTAGGTGGTGTTTGGTTCGCTGGAATGTTTATGAGGGAATTGAAATCTATAAAGAAATTGAAATATGTCAGGAATTGAAATCCAATTCTATATTTTATTTGGTTGGTAGAAAATAGAATTGGAATCTAATTACATATTCTGTTTGGTTCGCAGACATGTCAGATGAATTTGATTTTAATAATGTAAAATGACATAATTGTCCTTCTTATTTTTTGTTTTATTTTAGTTTGTTTTACAACTTACATGTAGTAATATATTATTATAAAAAATTAAAAAATATTAAATTTTTATTTTATTAATTGATTATTCATTTCAATAAATTATAAAAATCATGCTAATAAACATCATAAGTTAAAATCATCGCAATCAAATTATGTTAATAAGTTACCAAAAGATAGAGTAATATTTCGACACATTTCAATCGGAGTATGTTAATTAGTTACCAAAAAATATACCAAAAACTATTTTTATTCAATATATGAAGTAGAAACCCGATCCGACATGACACGAAATAATAAAAAAATCATTTTTATTCAATAAAAACATTGACTTAATTGAAAAAAAGTATATATAGAAGGGTATTATTATAATTATTCCAAAATATATTAGGTAAAATTATATATTTTTTTTGGGTCGGGTCCGGTTTTTATCACCCTAAACCCGAACCCGACCCGACCCGAATATCACACTTAAAAAAACTGACCCGACCTGAACAAAATAAAGCTTCACCCGACCCGACCCGAATATATGAATTAGAAATCCGACCCGACCCGACCCAAAATAATAAAAAAATTATTTTTATTCAATAAAAACAGTGACTTAATTGAAATAAAATTATATATAGAGGGATATTATTGTAATTATTTCTAAATATATAAGGTAAAATTATATATATTTTCGGGTCGGGTATTTTTCACCCTAAACCCAAACTCGACCCGAATATCACACTTAAAAAAAGGACCCGACCCGACCAAAATAAAGTTTCAACCGACCCGACCCGACCCGAATATATGAATCAGAAACCCGACCCGAAATAATAAAAAAATATTTTTATTAAATATATGAATAAGTTACCAAAAGATTGATGAAGGTAGTATGGTCAAATTTCAATTCCATCCAAGAAGGGAATTTAATTCTATCAATTATTGGATGAAATTCACTTTCCCTCATTTGATGGAAAGTAAGCCATGAGAGATTTCAATTCCCTTGGAAAACTTGAACCAAACATGGGAAAGCACCAATTCTAAGGGATTTATGCCAACCAAACACCACCTTAGGGTTTTCTTTGAATGGTATGGTTCGGTGAAGGAAGTTTATCTGCCGAAAGAAAAATTATTACTCAGGGCACGCCATTGATTTGTCCTTTATTCATATGTCTATGTTTGTTCTGGTTGTTTCTTTGTTGACGATTGTAGTGTACTTTGAATAGAGCTTCATGCTATTATAATGTCTTTTGCTGAAATTATTTTTCTATCTTTTTGATGGCTTACTGATATTTTGTTAATAGTGCCAATAAAGGTGCCCGACTCTTTAATTATGGTTGTCTGGTGCTTTATGTTTACGAACAATTAGTACTATGAGTTAGTGTGGGTATGTTTTCAGTCTAGCTGATTTGATGTCTGGATATATCTTGTTTTTTTTAAATGTCTTCTTGTGCTATAATTGGCAATACAAATTTACATACAAAAAGTGTTAGTAAAGAGAATTGTAAGTAACGCAGGTGGCAACAATGGAGGAGATACAGATGAATAATGAAGGAACTAAGGTAACATTCAATAGCCTAGACACACCCAAGTAGCCAGACACTGTTATAGTTCCATCTGCAATCACTCAAGCTAGGGTTCCTGCTTCTGTTGAAAGAAGCCCTCCATTGTAAGTTCCACGAGAAAGCCTAGACGAGATTACACGCGACAAGTTCACACCTTCAAGCACTTCCGCAGATACAAAAGTGATGAGTGCAGAGCCAACATACTGAGGCACAGAGTAAGGAATCCAATATGGAAGCTTAGGAGAATGCCAACCAAAACCATGATTTCAGAAGCCAACAGAACTTGCCTGCAATAAATTTAAATAGCATGTATGCCATCCATTTGTGGTAAACTCGGAGCTTATTTTTTACCATCATGTCCACATGAGCTCAATGGGACCGTTAATATGCTTATTTTCATATTTGAACTTATCTTTCTTAGAACATGTTGCTTACGTAGGTTCCGACAATTATGTTTACGGGAAGCACTGTTAGCCCAAGACATGCAAGAAAGATGGCAACGCTATTGGTTGACCATATAAAGTAATACGCAGTGATGACACTTCCTTCAGCAAGCAATATTTCCATTGCATATTTAAGCATAAAATAAACAAATAGTTGCACCTTCACAGATAGTTTGAGTAACCTGTATGCTGATACAATTGAGGTGACAGGCTTGCTAGTTTTCTCACCATAATCTTCCTACCTTGTTTTCAATTTATCATGTTTTCAATATCCAGATTTGTCTATGTATATATATTTACTTTGTATTTCTCTGTTTAGTTTTGTTGTTTTGTTATTTGTATTTACATTGTATTTCTCTGTTTTTAAGTTCTGGTTTTGAAGTATTTTTCTTGTTTCCTACCTTGTTTTTACAGATGGATCAAATCCAAAATCTGATAGCTTTTCCCAGGTAAGCCTCTTCTCATTTTTGTTAACTTAAAATACACATATTTCTTTGTCTGAGTACTGTAATTAAATACAATGGATTTTGAGAATTTTCTCCCTTTTTACTTTGGATAGACAGTGAATGAAGAGAAGGCAAGATTGAGATCGTATATAGGTTCAAGGCTGCCAAGGTGTGAGAGGAGATGTAACTCATGCAAGAGTTGCGAAGCCATTCATAGGCAAATTTGGATACTTTTTATTTTAATTTTAAAAAATATATGGGGTATTATTTTAATTTGTAAAATATAGACTTTTTAATGTAATTTATAATAAGTATAGGCCATTACTGTAATTTATGTGAAGTTTTTCCTTTGATTGTAATATATAAAAAGTTTTGGTGTTTATTGTAATTTTTAGAAAATTTTGGTATTTATTGTAATTTACATAAAGTTTTGATATTTATTGTAATTTACATAAAGTTTTGATATTTATTATAATTTATAAAAAGTTCAGTCTTGATTGTGATATTTAAAAAATAGACTTTTATTATAATTTATATAAATATTTATACTTTTATGGTAATTTTATAATTTTAAATTTTAAATAAAAAATTATGACGATATTTTATTGTCATTTATATAGTAAAATTTTATTATTATTAGTGACAATATAAATGATTGGTGACAAAATTTTATTTTATTTAGTGACATAACAAAACGTCATTTTATATAAATAATAAAGTGACATTATACATAAACGTCACTATATGTTTAACAATATGTGACGATAAAAACATACGGCGTCACGTTAGACATTCAGTGACACACCTAGGGTGACAATTGCCGTGACATCGGATTTTATGTCACAGAATACAAATAGTGACATAAATGTAAGTTTTAATAACAATATTTTCAATGTCAAAAATAAACAAATTTGTTGTAGTGAAAATTTCGAGTCAACTATTTTATAAACTGAATTGAGTATTTATGTCCAACATAACCCTAAACCCAACATAATCACTTATTGTTCACTTATAGTTGGTTAATTTTTCTCTCGAAATGGTTATGTTTTAAGGGTTTAGGGTTGTTGCTTCAAGTTCAGATTGTTATGGCAGATTTTGAGAATGGATTGTGAATTTGGGGTTGGGCATATAATTGAAGTGTTTTGGAATTTGAGGTTTAAAATGTAATTGAAGTATTTTGGATTTTGGGGTTTAGAATGTAATTAATGATTGTGTTGCAAGTTTTAAAAGCTGGGGGGACCTAAATGCAAGCGCCTGAAAAGTTCAGTGACCATTTATATAATTTACCCTAACAAAAGTGAAACGGCCGTACTTCGGGGACCATATTGCAAATGAACTAAATGTTTAGGGATTATATTACAAGTTTTAAAAGTTGGGACTTAAATGCAAGCATCTAAAAAGTTCAATGACCTTTTATATATTTTACCCTAAAAATTAATTATATTATAATAAAAATATTTTTTATTTGGGACCCACATGAACGGTTTAAAAACTAAATATATTAGAATAAAAATACTAGTTTTTTGGTTTGGGCTCTTGCCCATACCCAACTACGGCACTGATTATTTGATGTGACATATTATTTTATTATTGATTAAACATTTTTAATGAGATTAATAAATAAACTTAAAAAATATTAAAATGATAATTTATGTATTTATTTTGACAAAAAATAGAAGCTACTAGGTCTTTTTTTTGAAAAGATAATTATCAAAATTACAATGAATATTTACTACCATAAACGTAAATTAACCACATAACTCATATATTTTCTTATAATCATTAACACAAACTAGCCACTTAATATCATATAAGGACCATACAAGAAAAAGAATTAAAACCTAACAAAAAAAACTCTCGAACAAAGGTTAGATACAAACATATCCTACTACATCGGTAAACAAATCATAAAAGGAGATAAAACTACAAAAATACCACCGACAAATCACAAATCAGAATAGAAAGAAGCGAAAAAAATATTCATGAACACAAATCGCATATTCAAATCCAATATGACGTTCCAAAGTAGGAAAGATCAGCATGATAACAAATAAGTATCATCTTGATCTCTCGTGGTGATGTCAAATCTAATCCTGAGAAAAACACTAAAATAACAGTCAAATGACTGAAAATGTGCTATAAAGACATAGATTAACGTGCTATAAAGACAGAAAAATTGTGTCATAACGACATAATTATTGAAAAGTAAAAAACCAAAAAAATAAAGATATGATAGAAAAAAATTAAAGGACAAACAAGAAATATTGACAGAGGCAAAAAGCAAAAAGGCTAGTGTCTTTGTCTATCAATCAAGAATGAAAAAAAAGATAAACAACTTTAAGATTTTTTAGAGAAAAAAGACTAAAAGAACAAATAAAAAATTTTGTTGAAAAATATTTTGATGTTTAGATATAACAAAATAAATGTTATTGGATTTTAAGATTTTCTAATCATTTTCAAATATATATATTCAATTAAATTATTTGAATATAAAAAATATTACTCCAAGTTTTTCAAATGACAATTTTAATCTTTACTTAATTGTAAAGATGTGTTTTAATCTTAAAATATTTTTGAAACAAATTTTACAAAGTATTTCGAGCCAAAAATATTTTCTTAATAAGTCTCAAACCGAAAAAGGCAGATTGCCCAGAGGGTACCGATACCCCCCAGAGGGTACTGATACCCCTATGTAAGATTTGGCTTCGAGAAATAACAGAATGCTCGGAGGGTACCGATACCCCCCGGAGGTACTGATACCCTAGTCTTATAACGGTCGAAATATTTGAATTTTACACAAAAGATATTGATACCCTATAATAGGGGATCGATACCCCCCACGCTCCAAGCTGTTTTATTAATTGTTTTCACACCATAACGGCTCTATTGACTCCACCAATGATCCCCAACATTCAGAATTGATCCAAGGATTATTTAAATAAGCTTAGAAGCCATTGATCAACAACAATTAACAAGAATTGAGAGAGAATCAAAGAGAAAACCTTAAAATATAAAGTTTGAGCTATTCAAGTCTATTTTTCATTCAATATTCATTTTTGCTTTCAAGAACACTTATTGTGCTCAATTGTATTATTCTTTAGTGTTCTTTCTTTGTTCTAGAATTGTGCAAACATCTTGCCTTGTGAGGTTTTTCTATAAATTTGTGAAATTTGTATTGTTCTCTTTGAGAGAGTGTGTTCTCAAGAATTTGGGGTATAATTCTTGAAGGATTTGTAAGGTTACTCTTTGTCTTTAAAAGAAAGACAAATTAGTGAATTTGTGGAAAATCCTTAGTGTGGATAGCTAAGGTAGTGGACGTAGACTTTGTTTGAGAAAGTCGAACTATTCTAAATCGCTGTGCAATTATTTTTCATTTTCTGCAAAAGCTTCCATTGAAATTTTTATTGCCAATTCAACCCCCCTCTTGGCCGATTCGTCGATCGATTAACTCAACAATTGGTATCACAACCTTACTCATTTGAAGCTTTAATCACCTCTTGAGTTGATTCGGGAAGAGTTACATCGATAATCAAGTCATCAATGGCCTCCACTTCAAACTCTAACTTTGGTCTTGATTCATTGCTCATCAACAAGCCTCATTTCTTCAATGGAGCTAATTATGCTTATTGGAAAATAGAATGATGTATTTCATTCAAGCATGTGATATGGGAACATGAAATATCATAGAAGATGGATATATCAAACCTTCCACTCATCCAAGATTGTGGAGTGAAGGAGAGACAAGAATGTTCCTGCTCAACTCCAAAGCTATCCATGTTATATTTTGTACTCTTGGACCAGATGAATACGTGAGAGTATCATCTTGTACAACTGCCAAGGAGATATGGGATAAACTACAAGTCACTCATGAAGGCATAAACGAGGTAAAAGAATTTAAAATTAGTCTTCTAACTCATAGCTATGAAAATTTTAGGAAGAAACCGGATGAAGATATCAAAGTTATGACGGATAGATTCTCCACGATTGTCAATGGTCTCAAATCATTTGGAGATATCATTCCAAATGAGAAGATTGTGAGGAAGTTAGTTTACTCTCTTCCAAAATCTTGGTAATCAAAGAAGACGGCGATCATCGAGGCTAAGAACTTAAAATCCTTGACCCTCGATGAGCTAATTGGTTTTCTCCTCACACATGAAATGATGCTTTAAGATGAGGTAGACCTCGAAAAGATGGATGAAATAAAGAAAGAGATGGAGAAGAAGAATAACGTTGGAGTTGCTCTCAAATCCACAAAGGATGAAAGTGATTTGGATGAAGATGACGAGGAAATGGTATTATTTTCCAAACGGTTCAGAAAATTAATGAGGCCCAACCGAGGAAGAAAATTCAAACGAAACGAAGGCTTCAAAAACGAACCGAATGAGAAAGACCCTATTATTTGCTATGAGTACAAAAAACTGGGTCATGTCAAATACGATTGCCTGCAATTGAAGAAAAAGAGTCAATCCAAAAAGAAGCACAAAGCTCATGTGACTACATGGAGCGATGAAGAAGGTTCCGATGAAGAGGAAATAGAAGTAGTAAACTTGTGCTTGATGACATTTGGGGAGGATTCTCAGGTAACCTCTAACTCATTTAATTCAGATGATTTATCTTATGATGAGTTATTAGAGGATTATAATGGGTTGACTTCGGATTATAAGACTTTATTTTCAAAATAAAAAAAATGATATTTCAAAATTGAAAAATGAAAATAGTCTTATGTCCAAAATCAACAATGATCTTGAAAGTAAGATCAAAGAATTACAAATCAAATTAGATGAATTTGAAAAGAAAAACACCAATTTGCATAACTTACTTTCAAGAGTAAATGACGATCATCAAAAGAAAATTGATGATCTTAAAGCTTCTTTTAATAAAGTTGATCCAAAACGTTTTGAAAATTGAGAAAGTTCAAAAATCAACTTTGTTAGAAAAAGTTTTAAAAGCTACAATCATAGAGGTCCCCAAAGAACATCAAATGGTAAAAATCATTAGAAGTATTAGGTTCTTAAAGGACTCATTACTATTAAAGATAATGATATCATACACAAATGGATACCTAAGGGGACTAGGATTTTGGAAACTAATGAATATGGACCCAAAAGAATTTGGGTACCAAAAATCAAAATTTAATCTATGTTTGTAGGAAAAGGAGTATTTCTACAAGGCACGAGAAACAAATTCAAACTCATGGTATCTTGATAGTGGATGCTCAAGACACAT